TCGGGCGGGCGGGACATTCAGGTATGATGCATCATCGAGTTGGCACGCCTGTACCCTAACGGGCGGCTCGGGTCGGCGGGCGGGGCCCTGACAGGCGGGTCGGGTCGGGCGGGCGAAACGGGCGGGTTGGGTCGGGCGGGCGGGACATTTTAAAGTATCATGCGTCATCGAGTTGGCACGCGTGTACCCTAACGGGCGGCTCGGGTCGGGGGGGCGAACCCAAACGGGCGGGTCGGGTCGGGTCGGGCGGGACATTCAGGTATGATGCATCATCGAGTTGGCACGCGTATACCCTAACGGGCGGCTCAGGTCGGACGGGCGGGCCCTGACGGGCGGGTCGGGTCGGGCGGGCGAAACGGGCGGGTCGGGTCGGTCGGGCGGGAATTAAAAATTGATGCATCACAGCTTGTACCCTAACGGGCGGGTCGGGTCGGGCGGGCGGGACCCCTCATAGGGCGGGTTCGCGTCGGGGCGGGCCGGGGAACATTGAGGTATGATGCATCATCGGAGGTGGCACGCGTGTACCCTATCGGGCTGCTCGTGTCGGGCGGGCGGGCCCTGACGGGCGGGACTTGTCGGGCGGGTGGCGAAGCGGGCGGTGTCGGGATCGGGCCGGCGGGACATTAAGGTATGATGCATCATCGAATGGCCTTTTTTATGTACCCTAACGGGCGTTCCGGGGTCGGGCGGGCGGGCCTTGCCGGCTGTCTGGTCGGGCGGGCGAAACGGGCGGGTGTCGGTCGGGCTGGCAGAGGTAGATACGATGCGCCATCGAAGTTGGCACGCGTGTCCCCTAACGGGCGTGTCGGTCGGGGTCGGGGCGGACCCTTACGGGGCTGGTCGGGTGTCGGGCGGGACATTAGGTTGATGCCTGATCGAGTTGGCTGACCGTGTACCTATGGGACAGGGCTCGGGTCGGCCGGCGGTCCCTGACGTCGGGTCGGGTCGAGCGGGCGAAACGGGCGGGTCCGCGTCGGGCGGGTCGGGACATTTTACAGTATCATGCGTCTCGAGTTGGCACGCGTGTACCCTAACGGCGGCTCGAGTCGGTCGGCGGGCGAACGGGCGGGTCGGGTCGGGTCCGGCGGGACATTAAAGTATGATGCATCATCGAGTTGGCACGCGTGTACCCTAACGGGAGGCTCGGGTCAGGCGGGCGGGCCCTGCAGGACATTACGGTATGATGCATCACGAATTGGCACGCGTGTACCCTAACGGGCGGCTCGGGTCGGGCGGGCAAGCCCTGACGGGCGGCTCGGGTCGGGCGGGCGGGCCCTGACGGGCGGGTCGGTCGGGCGGGCTAACCAGCGGGTGGGTCGTGCGAGCAGGGACTTAAAGTATGATGCATATCGAGTTGGCACGCATGTACCCTGAACGGCGGCTCGGGTCAGGGGTGCGGACCCTAACGAGCGGGTTGGTCGGGCGGGCGGGACGTTAAGGTACGATGCATCATCGAGTTGGCACGCGTGTACCCTAACGGGCGGCTCGGGTCGGGCGGGCGGGCCTTACGGGCGGGTCGGGTCGGGCGTCGAAAACGGGCGGGTCGGGTCGGCGGGCCGGGACATAAAATATGATGCATCACGAGTTTGCAACGGTGTACCCTAACGGGCGGCTGCGTTCGGGCGGGCGTACACACCAACATCGCAAACACCAGGGCGGGTCAGGCTCGGGCGGGTTGGACATTAAGGTATGATGCATCATCTAAGTGGCACGCTTGTACCCTAACGGCGGCGTCGGGTCGGACGGGCGGGCCTGCGGGCGGCTCGGGTCGGGCGGGCGGACCCTGACGGGCGGGTCAGGGCGGGCGGGCGGGACATTAAGGTATGATGCATCATCGAGTTGGCACGCGTGTACCCTAACGGGCGGCTCGGGTCGGGCGGACCCTAACGAGCGGGTCGGCTCGGGCGGGCGGGCGGGACATTCAGGTATGATGCATCATCGAATTGACACACGTGTACGTACCCTCACGAGCGGGTCCGGCCGAGCGGGCGGACCCTAACGGGCGGGTCGGGTCGGGCGGGCGGAACGAGCGGGTCGGGTCAGACGGGCGGAATGGGCGGGTAGGGTCGGACGGGCTGGACATTCAAGTATGATGCATCATCGAGTTGGCACGCGTGTACCCTAACGGGCGCGTCGGGTCGGTCGGGCGGGCTGACCGTAACGAGCGGGTTGGGTCCTAACGAGCGGGTTGGGGTCGGGCGGGCGGGACGTTAGGTACGATGCATCATCGGAGTTGCACGCGTGTACCCTAACGGCGGCCTCGGGTCGGGCGGCGGTCCCCTGACGGCGGTCGGGTCGGGCGTCGAAAGGGCGGGTCGGGTCGGGCGGGCGGGACAGTAAACCATGATGCATCATCGAGTTGGCACGCGTGTACCCTCACGGGCGGGTCGGGTCGGGCGGGCGGACCCTAACGGGCGGCTCGGGTCGGGCGGGCGGGACGTTAAGGTATGATGCATCATCGAGTTGGCACGCGCGTGCCCTAACGGGCGGGTCGGGTCGGGCGGGCGGACCCTAACGGGCGGGCCCGGTCGGGCGACGAGGACGACCACGACGTCGACGAGGGTGGCAGTGACGACGACCAGGACGGCAACGATGACTAGAAAGACCGCGACGACGACCGTAACGGAACAGTCGGGCGGGCAGATGCCAACGAGCGAATGGGGCGGGCGGACCCTAGCGGGCGGGTGGGGCGGGGGGACCTTAACGGGCAGGCGTTCCCCACCTCCACGCCCACTCATCCTTCTACTCCTCCTCCTCCTCCACCTCCCCCCTCCTCCTCCTCCTCCTCCACCTCCGCCTCCTCTTTCCTCCTCCTCCTCCTCCTCCTCACCTCCTCCCCTCCTCCTACCTCCCCCCTCCTCCACCTCACCATCATCATCCTGTCCATCCTCCTCCACCTCCTCCTCCTCCTCCTCCTCCTCCTCCTCCACCTCTCCTCCTCCTCCTCTCTCCTCCTTCCTCCTCCTCCATCCTCCTTCCTCCTCCTCCATTCCTCCTCCTGCTCCTCCTCCTCTGCTCCTCCTCCTCCCCCTCCTCCTCCTCCTCTCACCTCTCCTCCTCCTCCCTCCTCCTCCTACCTCCTCCTCCTCCTCCTCCTCCACCTCCTCTCCTCCACCACCTCCTCCCCTCCTCCTCCTCCTCCTCCATCCTCCTCCTCCTCGTCCTCCCCTCCTCACACTCCTCCTCCTCCTCCTACCTCCTCCCCTCCTCCTCCTCTCTCCTCCTCCTCGTCCTCCTCCTTCCTCCTCCTCCTCCTCCACCTCCTCCACCTGCTCCTCCTCCTCCTCCTCCTCCTCCTCCTCCTCCACCTCCCTCTCTCCTCCACTCCACCTCCTCCTCCTCCTCACCCCCCACCTCCTCCTCTCTCCTCCTCTCCACCTCTTCCTCCTCCTCCTCCCTCCTCCTCCTCCTCCTGCCTCCTCCTCCCCTCATCTCTTCCTCCTCCTCCTCCTGCTCCTCCTCCTCCTCCTCCTCCTCCTCCTCCTCGTCCTGTCCATCTTCCTTCCCGGCGCAGGTCTGTCGAACCGGTCTGTCGAGCCAGGTCTAAAAAAAACCAGATCAAACGACCCAGGCCTGTCGAACCGGGTCTGTCGAACCGGGTCTGTCGAATCGGGTCTGTCGAACCAGGTCTGTCGAACCAGGTTTGGCGAACCGGGTCTGGCGAACCGGTCCCTGGCGAACCGGTCCTTGGCGAACCGGTCCTCTGGCGAACCGGTCCTCTGGCGAACCGGTCCTCTGGCGAACCGGTCCTTGGCGAACAGATCCTCTGGCGAACCGGTCGTTTGCCAGACGGGTTGTCAGTGGCCAAAGTCCTTGCGGCGCACGCTCAGGGCCCAGCCCCGGATCTTCCCGACGGCGGCAATCGATCACAACACGTCGGAAGAACGCGGTCTGGCCTCACGCAATTCGGCACCTCTTGTTAGGTCACCCGCAGGAGCGCGGGCGCTTCGCTCCCAAAAAGAAAGGAAGCAGCACCCCGCCAACAGCAAAAACGGGAGAGTCATGGCGAAAACCCGGTTAAGGACCTCACTGAACGATCGTCTTCGGACGGCTAACCAGCGATCTGATCGCGACGGCCTCTTGCGCATTAGTATGACGTCGGCCCGAAAACCTGCAGCGCAACAGGGTGGTAAACGGTTCGGGCCCTTCCCAGGAATGGAGCAGGGAGTCATCCCGGACACCACCCCCCAGGACCTCGACAGGCTCGTCGGGGTCTGGAAATTCAATGATGTTCGAGTCTCACCGAGCGCAGTTGGAAGCTCTGCAGACGCGCGAGCCGCAGAAGCCGAGCATCCCAAACATGCGCCGCCACCGCTGCCCAGTGGCCCACGCGCATGCACATGGGAGGCAGCTGACTGGGAAGGCGACTTGGCTCGAGGTCTAAGACGCGGGGCGCGCGGAAGATGAAGCCGCACTCAGACGGCGCGACTAGCTCCTGGAGCCAGATCGTCGCTCGGCTGGGCGGGATGCTGAGGTTCTCTGCGGGGTGGGCGAGAGGCTCGACCAAATGCGCACTGCCTCCCAGGCACGCATCGCCCACAAACCCTGTCGCGGCCCGATGGATGCCAGCGACGCAGCCAGCCTAAGGTGGCATTGACTTCTCGACGCGGCAACATCCATAATACTTGTCATCAAGCTGGCGCACCAACTGCCACTGTCTCTCGGCCAAGGGAGCAGCAAGGCCGGACGCCGTCGATCCACCTGCGGGGCGCCCACTCGAGAGCCAGGGCAAATAGGCGACGGACACGTTGACCCAGCGCCACCGACATTTCTCCCGAAGCCACACCGCGCGCGCCGCAGAGGGCAGCGCTCCGCGGCGTGCCCGCGGCGTCGCAGCCGACCTCGGTGAAAGCCGCTGCGTCGACGCGGGCAGACCACCTCTGCGGTTCGCGATCGATGGCCCCGTTGAACGCCAGGAGCCCAGCCGCCCACCTGGCGCCCTCGACCCTTGCCACCGGGCCTGCCTATCCCTATCCCGCGCTCGAGGCTGCGCCCCCGACCGGGAGGTCGCCCAGGGCGGGCTCGCCCTCTTTCACCTCCTTGGAGCCGCCGACCTTCTCCAGCGCCTGCAGCATCGCAAACTGGACGGACAGGTCCGCATCGCGGCCGCCTGTCTCGACGAGGGCCCCGAGGTCGAGGTCGGCCATCCCAGCTGGAGCCGCTCAGCTGCCCCACTCGCGTGGCGGGGGCCCGTCGGCCCGCCGGGGCAGCCCCCGAGCCGTCGCCGGGGCCTCCTCTGCCGCCCTGGACCAGGGAGGCGCCGGGGGGGCCGCGCCCAGGGCGCCGCTGCGGGCGAGCTCTGGAGGGGGATCTGCTCAAGACAGAAGGGGCAGGCGCTAGCGCACTCGCGGAGGGCCCCGCCCAGAGGAGCGACTCGGAGCGGCGGGGGGGGGGGAGCGCAGGAGCGAGGCCACGGGCCACCACGCTTGCTTCTCTTCTCGCCCTGCTCGACGCGGCTCGAGAAACCCCTCGGTTGGCCGCCGATGGCCTCCAGCACCTCGCGTTCGCAGCTTCGAAGAGCGCAATGCTGATCATCGCGCGACGCGTTGACGCGCCGAAAGATTGTGGCCCTCTTATCGCTGCGCGCCGCAAGCCCGCGCCCGTCTCGCCGCGCGCCCCGCCCGCCCGCCCGCGGCGGGAACCACCCGTTGATGGAGGGGGGGGGGGGGGGGGGGGGGGGGGGGGAAGCGGGCGGGGCCATGGGCCCCCCAGCCCCGCCAGGAGCCCCCTTCCCTCCGCGCCCGGGCTGCCCGCCACATTGGCGCCACGCGGCCGACCTGCCCACTCCTGCGCGGCGGCCTCGCGGGCTGCGTTGACCTCGTAGTCCACCATGCCCTCGCCATCGTGCTCGTCGGCGGTGAGGCACCTCTCCCTATCGGTCTGCCCGTCGACGGAGAGCTGGAAGCCGATGCGCCCCGAGTCGCCCCGAGTCGCCCTGGGGGGCGGGGGCGGAGATCGCGACGGGTCGGAGCAGGATCCCGACGTTCCAGTCGTCGGGCTGCGGGGCCAGATCGGCCAGCTCGAGCAGGTCCGGCTGGGCAGACCCGCCAGCTAAGTCGAAGAACTGGATCACCTCGTCCACCGCGCAACTCTCGGGGAGTCTCGCCAGGAACGCGGGCGAGACCTCCGCGCAGCCCGCGTCTGCTGGCAATTCCTCGCCAAGGGCCGACCGCAGCGCCACCGAGACATCGTCTGCGGAGGCGAGCGAGCCGGCGTCGTAAGGGAGGCAGACGGCGTGCACCACGATGGGGAGCTCCTCCAGCTCGAGGTCGCTGCGGTCGTTTCGGGTCAGGGCGTCGACGGCGACGGGGCCCTCGAGCCTCGCGAATTTGGCGCCGACAGCGCGGGCCTCGCGCAGTGCTGCCGCGCCGGCGGCTCGGGCTCCGGCTATAGGCAGCTCGAACAGCCACGAGCGAAGCAGGACGTCCCCGAACTGCTGCACCGCCTCAGAAGGCAGCGTCGTCCCTGGTCCAGTCGAAGACCGTGACAGCGTAGGATTAATCCCGCCGCTCGTCGGAGAACCTGCCAGTTGCCTCGTCCAACGACGGGAACCGACGCAGGCGATCCCGCCCGCCAGTGTACTTGCCGTCTCCGAATCTACCGACGATCGCCTGCCACGCGCTTCCTCTTTGCACCCCGACGATCACCTCGTTTCAACCCAGGACGGCCCAGATTGCATAGCAGTGGCTGCCAGCGGGAGGGGCGGCCCGAACCACAGGTTCGGCACCTGCCGCCCCTCTGAGCGGCCTGCGATGGGTGATGTCGGGGATGACGACCCAGGGGACCCCCTCTGGGTCCTCCGCCGCCTCTGACGCGGCTTTCTCGCCGTTGGGAATGGCCTCGAATAGACCTCGAATCCAGGGGCAGGCTCGTGGACCGCCCGCGCTCTGGCCGCGGGCCCTCAGCGCAGCAACCGCGGGCGCACCCGGCGCGCAGCGAAGGGAGGGCTCGGTCCGAGAAAGCTGCAGATCACCTCCTCCCACTATCAGAACCGCTGTGCTCACATCACCATGATCAGCATCAACAACATCATCAGCATCAGCATCAGCATCAGCATCAGCATCAGCATCAGCATCAGCATCAGCATCAGCATCATCATCATCATCATCATCATCATCATCATCATCATCATCATCATCATCATCATCATCATCATCAGCAGCAGCAGCAGCAGCAGCAGCAGCAGCAACAGCATCATACGATCCTGAAAACCCTGATCGGATGATCATCTCGCCCTGATCATCATCATCCCACCCGGAGGAGGAGGAGGAGGAGGAGGAGGAGGAGGAGGAGGAGGAGGAGGAGGAGAAGGAAGAGGACGACGACGACGACGAGGCACGAGGTCCGCCCCCTGGCACCGCGGGGTCTTCAACCTTCTTGGTCTTCTTCCCGCCGCTCGGAAGCGCCGCGTCCAGGCGGAGGTAGTAGAAGCCCAGGGCGAAGCAGACCAGGAACGACAGCTGGGCGGGCAGAGGAGGAGGCGGAGGACGCCTCCTCCTCCCCTCCTCCTCCTCCTCCTCCTCCCCTCCCCTCCTCCTCCTCCTCCTCCTCCCCCTTCCTCCTCCTCTCCCTCCTCCTCCTCCTCTCTCCTCCTCCTCCTCCCTCCTCCTCCTCCTCCTCCTCCTCCACCTCCTCCTCCTCCTCATCATCATCATCATCATCAGCAAACGAGAAGACGGCGAAGCAAACCAGAAGGAGGGCGAAGCAGACCCGGCGCGGGGGAAGAGGAGGATCGAGGGTCGAGAGATTTTCTTGAGCAAGACATCAACGTCGGCGTCTCCATTTCGGAGCTGTTTGCGCCTCTCTTGGTATTCGTGTCGCCCCGGCTGGACAGCTCTAAAAACTGGTCTGAACGGGCCCCAGGAGTCTGGAGACAGATGTTGCACGGACCGTGGCTGGCGGAGAAGGTGGACAGACCTGCCTGCTTCAACCAACAGCTTTCGGAGGTCCAGTCCTCTCGGCCGTCTTGGGTCGGCGATGGTCACTCCTGGAGCGCTCGCCGCGGCAGAGAGAACGGGGGTCCAGAGCCGACTCAAGACATTCACGCGGATGCCCGCGAGATTATGTTTATGCAGATTCTCCTCGAGGGAAAAAAAGGAGCAGAAGGAGAAGAGGACCTAGAGGTCTGGCGATGCGAACAGAAAACACGAGACCGAGCATCGAGGACTTGTATTCTGTTTGGCCCTTGTCTCCTGCGGGCCCTCACGGCTGGGCTCACCTCAAAAGTTCTTCGCCCTGGAGGCCAACCTGCGTCGCCTGGCCAAGACCTCTGACGCCACGAGACAAATCATGGCGGCCTGCTCCTCCTCTGGTCTGGACCTCCGGAGGCACGCCCCCAAGATGGAAGACCCGGTCCTGGGGAAGGGTCGAGAGCCCTGGGGGGGGGGGGGGGGGGCCGGCGCGACGAGAAAGGCCGTGCCGCCAGATGTCCGGGGACGAAGAGCAGGATGAGGATGAGGACTCGCGTGCTCGCCTCCTCCGCGTCGCCGGATGCGGCGGACAGAGAGCGGCACACCGGGGCAGCGGCGGGCGGGTCCACGGCGGGCGGGGGCGCGGCGCAGACCCGGAGGCGCCCGCCGGCGGACGGGGCGGCGACGGGGCGGCCGCGAGCGGCGACGGAGCGAGGGCCAGGAAGTGCGCGGCCGATCGCACCGAGGAGGGAGGAGGGAGGAGGGAGGAGGGAGGAGGGAGGAGGGAGGAGGGAGGAGGAGGAGGAGGAGGAGGAGGAGGAGGAGGAGGAGGAGGAGGAGGAGGAGGACCTCCTCATCCTCTCGTCTCCCCCGTCCTACATATGGTGGTGGTGGTGGTGGTGGCCCCGGCAGGGAGTCCCTCGGCGCGAGCACTGGCCGCGGAAGAGGGGCGACGGGGAGGGGCGCAGAGCTGCCTCGATGCAGAACGGCTGCAGGATCGTTGCCACGCTGCTGACGAGCTCGCTCAGCGCGGACGTGCCGGCGGACATCCCTCCTGCTCGCCCCGCTGCGCGGCTCCCGTGGCGCCTCCTGCTCGTCCCCTCCTGATCGGCGGTCCTCGCCTGTGCCTCCGAGAGACTTCGACTCGCAGGCGGGCGGCGAGCGCGAGGATGAGCGAAGGAGGCGCTTCCAGATTAAGAGGGCCTGCCCTGGTCAAGCAAGCAGAGGGTACGCACACGGCCAAGACAACGGCAACAGAGGAGGGTGAGGATACACGGGTCTCCTGCGGGACACATCCACGCAGTCTTACGCACACGGGGTCAAGTGGGCGAGGAATCGAGTCTCGTGGTTTGCAGACTACGACCAGCGGGACAGTTCTGGAGCAACCAAGCTGCGCTGTCATATGGGAAGTGTGTCGGGCTCTTGGGGTCTTGGCGCACGGACAGGACGCTCGACAAGGTCACGACTAACACATGCTTTCGCAGTCGTGCGTGTGTCTTACCAGACCTCCTATGACATCCCTCAAAAACTGGCGCGTCCAACCGAGATCGGAGCTGCTCCCCTGACGAAGAGGGTATGAAGGGGATGATGTGTCAACGTTTGCCGCCCTCCCTGCTTGCCAACCCTTCCGTCCTGCCTCGATGTCTCCTGCATGCCAACTGATTCCCTCTAGTTCCGACGCCAAGACACGTATCATGCCTCTGACCCCTTTGCACCTATCATGAGCAGCGCTGCTCCCGTCGCGTGGCCATGTGTCCAGCAAGAACCAGGCGAGGAGAGAAGAATAGCACAATAACACAAACTAACAATTGACCAGCTCAAAACAAATCCTGTTGGGAAGCAGTGGAAAGCTATCCCAACCCATGCCCTCTCCCCCCCCCCACACACACACACACCCTCACAGATATCGGAAATACGGATCCAAGACTAATCGGATGCGTATCCAGTGATGCTGAACATCTCGTCTAGATTACGTATTGCCCGTCCCTGCACAATTCGCTCATCACACACATCGATGCCCTGGGTAGTGATGCGCGCAAATTGGCCAGCTGATATTGCGCTCGATTGTCCCTTTTCATACTAAAACCAAAATCGTGCGGCAACCCTGGTCAACACCAACGAACACCAAGTGTATACCCGATGGAATGGATGCTAACCAAAGCCTTTGGCTCAAACATATTCAAGGACCGCTGCGGCTGTCTGCCCAAACTCATGACCGCTTGGAATAAGGGCTTGTACATGTGCAAACATGCTGACACGCCCTCCTGACATCTCCTGACAAGTTCGCAAGATACCATGCTCGCGTGAATGACCTGCTATGCACGCTCTACCCCCTTTCCACTGGCTACCCTCCCACTCCTGATTGCAAGTAAGCAGAATATGAATACCTACTTAGACCTCTCGGTCAGAAAGCGGTGGAGCTGTATTTCCACTGCTGGATTTTGAAAGATTGACGATTCTGTTTGTAACTAGCAAAGGACACCCATGCCCTGTCTTGAACCAAATACGACGACCATTCTAATTTGCGCTCGCGCCAGATTTAGCGTCGGCGGCGGCGGGAGCACCAGCACAATCGCTCCAGCAAAAGTGATCCACGACGACAAGTCAAGCAGCAACGACTCTCCGCGAAAATTCACGCAGCAACGTCGGCGACAACGGAGAACCAAACTGGTCGAGGCTGCCATCCTCGACGGGACCTTTAACTCTTGAACTGCCCGCAGCACGGCCGACTTCGAACGAGTCGTGGTCGGAGTGCGCCAGATGCTGGGGCCACCAGCGCGTGCCTGACTGCTGGCGGTTCCGCGGTTTCTTGGTGTCTTGAATACTGCGGCAAGCGCCACTGCAATGCACCTCCTCAACATCATCCTCTACCATCCCTCATAAATTTGTGAGTTCTCTCTCTCTCTCTCTCGCTCTCATTTTCTCTCTCTGTCTCTCTCTGTGTCTCTCTAACTTTCTCTATCTCTCTCTCTCTTTCTCTCTCTCTCTCTCTCTCTCTCTCTCTCTCTCTCTCTCGTTCTATATATAGATATCTACAATATATATATATGTACATACATACATGTATATATACACATACCTATATATATATACATATATATATATATATATATATTTGTATTGCTCTCTCTCTCTCATTCTCTCTCTCTCTCTCTCTCTTGCTTCGTGTCCGCATAACTGCATCAATACGTGTGTGGATATATGTGTACATAGATCAGCCGCCGTGCCTTCAGCACGTAGTAGTGGAGCACTCCAAGGCTCATGCAGCCCTCGGAAGTAAAGAGCTGCAAGGTCTGAAGGGCCCGGGCTACCAGTTTCACAAGGATTCCTGGGGATCCCCCGAGATTCCCATGGATTCGGGGGGATTCTGGGGGATTGCCGGGGATTCTATGGGATTCCCCAGGGCAGCGCAAGTGGCTCAAGAAGGCACCAAAACAATCAAAAAGGGTCCCGAATCGTCGCACGATCGGTCCAAGACGCCAAGTACGGTCTCCACTCGGCCGAAAAAAGCGCCCAAGACGTCCCAAGAGGCCCCTAAGAGCGGCCCCAAGAGGGCTCCGAGAGTCCAAAATAATTCCCCACATCCTAAGTGGGATTCTTGTTATCTCTGGACACCTCGCGCAGGAACCCTTCACCCCCTCTCCTCTCTCTCTCTCTCTCTCTCTCGCTCTCTCTCTCTCTCTCTCTCTCTTTTTCTCTCTCTCTCTCTCTCTCTCTCTCTCTTTCTTCCTCGATTTCTCTTCATATGTCTAATAATATTTCTCTGTATCTCTATCTCTCTCTCTCTATTTCTCTCTCTCTCTCTCTCTCTTTCTCTCTTTCTCTCTTTATGTTCCCCTCTCTCTCTGTCTCCCTCTCTCCCACACCCTCATCAATACATTCTCACTCATCAAACACTCACTCACTCACTCACTCACTCACTCACCCATCCACTCACTCACGCACCCAATCACCCACTCAATTATTCATTCGCCGACACACCATGATCATCACCATCATCATCACCACCATCGTCATCATCTCACACGCACTCACGAGCCCACCTCACACTCTCTCTCTCTCTTTCTCCCTCTCTCTCTCTCTCTCTTTCTCTTTCTCTCTCTCTCTCTCTCTCTCTCTCTCACGCACACACACACACGCACACACACACCCACTCACTGACTCACCTCGAAGAGAATATCGAAGAGGAACCCCCGACCGATGGGGCCCGCAGCTCATGTTCCCAATCCGACCGGGTCATTGTAAAACCTGTAGATGTCGTCCCTGTTGGGCTCCTCAGGCCTGAATATGGAGGAAATCTCGAGCGGGAACCTCAATTGCGAGTGGATCGCGGGGAAGTCTCAAGCGAGAAACCCCTCCGCATGAGGCCCGCGAAATCACATTATGAATCCGACCAGGTCATCCTCAAAGTTGTAACTGCAGCCATTTATGTCTTTTTGCGGGCCTGAATATGGACGACGTCTCGAGCGGGAGCCTCGTCGATGAGCGGATCGCGAGGAAGTCTCAGACAGGACTCCATCCATGTGGGGCCCGCTCCTCGCGTTATCCATCCGGGGCGGCAGTTCCCAAAGCGGCAACTGTCGTCACCGTGGGACTTCTAAGGCCTGACTATGGAGCGAATCGCGAGGAAGTGTCGCGCGGCAGCCCTTCCCCATTTGGCCCCCACCTCCAAAATCGGATCCGAACAGGTCACCCGAATCCTGTAACTGTCGTCACGTCTGGGACCCCCTGGCCTGATTATGGAAGAAAAATCTCTAGAGCGGGGAAATCGTCTGCGAGTGAATCGCGAGGAAAGCTCGAGCGGGAGCCCGCCCCTATGGGGTCCCCACATCCATGCTCGACAGGACGAGTGCGACCTCAACGGCTGAGGTGGAACTCGCGGCAGAAAGAGGTTTCGCGCTGCCTCCCGCCTGACCGCCGCGGCGCTCAGCTCGAATCCCGCGGGGTTGTCACGACGGATTGCTCCCGCGCCCCAGCGTCCTTCGGGGTTGTCCCAACGGCCTGGTCCGCGGGGTTGCCCCAACGGCTACGCGATCCGGCCATCGGAGAACGCGAGCATGCCTGCCGTGGCGGCGAGGGCGCAGATGGAAATCAACATGCGTGCCCCAGCCAGAAGTACGGACAGGCGCATGAGGAGAACAGGCGGGATGGAGAGAGAGAAGGAGGAGGAGGAGGAGGAGGAGGAGGAGGAGGCGAAGGATGAGGAAGAGGAGGAGGAGGATAAGAAGGAAAAGGACGATGACAACAATGACAATGACAAGGCGCTCGGAGGTCGTGCGAGCGGTTGCGTGCAACACTTCTAGACCTCTGCAGTGTGAATTTGGATGCTGGACCCTCCCGATACCTCTGAAGGGCAGCCTAGGAACGAGGAGGAGGAGGCAAGAGGAGGAGGAGGCAGGAGGACGAGGCAGGAGGAGAAGGAGAAAGCAGGAGAGCGTAGAAGGAAGGAGCAGGAGGAGACCCCCGGCCAATCAGAAAAACATTATCGCGTGAAGTTTGACCGTCGAAATACTTGTTTTGTAACAGACTGTCCTCCATTTCTTCTCCAAGCACAGCAAATCTGTCTAGTGAACTTCGGCAAAGAAGCGAAGCACGCGCGTGCGAACAGGGCGCTGCGAAAATCTGGCAGCACAGAAACTGGGACCGCGAACCCTGGAAAGACTTCAAATCCCCAAGGGTGGGGGGTGGGACAGTTGAGCAGATGCGCACACGGACAGTCGCAACAATCACGCGCAGAGCACTCCCACGCGGAAGGCGTGTCCCCCATCTCTTCTCTGAGGACAGCGTCTAGAGAAATTCGGGGGGGAAGCGAAGCGCACCCTGGCGAACAGGGCGCCACGAAAGCCAGGCAGCACAGAGACCGGGAGCGCCACGCCAGCAAAGACTTCGAGCCCCCGAGTCGTCAACGAATTCGGATGCTCGCTGAATCGAGAAGGATCATCGCCGCGCGTTTGGCTAGGAGGGGGCAGGGCTGGGCGAACAGAATCTGGCTGACATGAACGGCAGGGCGCCAGCCCGTCAACTCGGCGTGCGTTCTCCCTGCGAAGGGCAGCAACTCTTTCCGCAACACAGGCGGCCATCGAAGATCTCGGGGCTGCTGGGCCCCATGCGCCCGAACTGAACGCGGGTGCGGCTTTGGAGAAGACGTCCACGGGAGCAAAAATCAATGGTTACCTGATGGCAAATGTCTTGGGCAGCCAGGCCAGCGATGTCGGCTAGTTCCCACGCGTTGCTCATGGGCGTGTTCTCCAGGACCCGCAGACACGGCCCCTGCCCGCGCTGGAGCTCGAGCTCGCGCACGGCGCCGCGAAGCACGGCAATCAACGATCGCAGCATTATCTTGGACAGGAAAAGGATCAGCACAGGTGGTAGATGTAGTCAAGCTCCGGACTGAGCTAAATGTCATAGCATCGCACTGGCACCCTGAAGCGCGAGGCAGCTCGGCCCCCCACCCCACGTCCGCCGAAGATTTCGGCGAAGAAGCGGACCAGGCCACTAGCCAGGCGGACGCGCATGGACGGCGGGGCCTTCTGGCCGAAGAATATGTCGTCGAGAAATGTCCGTTGGATGGAGCAGGCCCAGTTGCTTCGGCGCTAGCTCGCGGGCCGAAAGGCTCAGCAGCGCGGCGTTTTCGCGGCGGCGGAAGCTCGAGTCCGAGCCCCCCCCCCCGCCCCCACCCCACCTCCCCGCTTTTTCACCTCGGAAATGTCTCTGCGCCTTCCCTGTCGGTCGAAGCTCGCCCCGTTGTGGCGCGCCTGGCACACCACTGGCGTCGGCGCCCCGACGCGGCGGGCGGTGATCCTGAACTGCTGCGGGACCTGGCTGTAGCTGCGGTCGAAGATCAGGCTGTCTGAAACCACCTGCGAGACCTCCAAGAAATGCGGAAACCAAGGGAATATCTGGATATTCTAAATGACGGCCTCGCTGCGGCAACCCGTCTTCCTCGCCCGGCCCCGTGCGTCTGGGAATAGTCGGCGCTCCGTCCGACGGCCAGGCGGACGAGGTCCTGCCGCGCCACTGCAAGGGGCCTCATGTGCCTCTGCTGCACTCCGCTGCCATCCACGAGATCTACAAGGCCATCTTCCAGAAGCCTCAATATGCCAAGTCGCACACCATTTCGGACCAGATAGCGCGGACCCCCGGGGGGCGGAGAGGGGGGCCCCAGCGAGATCTAAAGTCGGAATCCGCCCCCCGAGCCTCGCGCTCAAGCTGCGGCGGCAGCATGCGCCTCATGCCACCATGCAAACAGCGCGCGCCAGCTGGCCAGACCCCAGCTAGACGCGGGGCGCCACGCACGCACTCGGGGAGAGGGGCACGCCGCGCGCGTCCGAGATGACCGACGCCCCTCCCGCCGCTTCGGCGAGGGGGGCTCGACGGGCCTCCTGCGATGGGGGGAGCGCGTCCTCTGTCCGCGCGTCAGCTCTCGAGATGCGCGCGCGCGCCTCCGCAGACCGGCCGGCGCCCCACGGCCTGCCCGCGGCGCCGCGGCAGCGCGACCGCTTGGGCGCGGAGAGCACTGGCCTCGCGGACGACCCACCGCTCTGGGCGGGCCCCGCGACTGCTCCGACCCCGCCGGCGGGCGGGGGCAAGCGCTCGCACCGGCCCTCGGCGCAGGAAGAGAAGAAGAGAGAAAGACGCCCTTCCTCCCGGCAGGGCTGAAAAAAAAAAAAAAAAAAAAAAAAAAAAAAAAAAAAAAAAGGTCGCCCGTTCCCGCGGAAAGCGTTGAAGTCATTGCTTCGCCGCCGAACGCCCGGGCTGCGGCGGCGGCGGCTGCCGCCGCGTCGCCCACGCCCCCAGCGCAGTCGAGCGGGGGCCTCCGTCCAGTCGAGCGGGGGCCAGCGGCAGCACCATTCATGACGGACGCCAGGCGGGCCGCTCAATCGGTTCTTCGCGTTCTCGATCCCAGCCTTCTCCTGTTGCTCGCGAGCCACCGAACTTTCCTGGGCAGGGCCCGCGACGTCCAGCGGGCCGCCAGCGCCCGCGTTGCGCTCAATCCCCTGCCACTTGGGCCGAGCGGGGTCGCCCTTGCAGGCCTCGCTGATCTAGGCGACCCCCCCGCGCGGCACCTCCACCGACGCGAGCGCCGCAAGGTAGATCTGATCGTAGGCCCCACGCATGCATCTTGCTGGCGAGGGGGGTGGTCATCTCGAAAGCAGCGCGCTCACTCTGGACGATGCCCTTCTCGCGAAGCCAACGGGGAAGCCCCAAGAGAGGGTCGCCCCCAGCTTGGTCGAACTTCCTGACGACGCGGAAGGTCTGCGACTGCTGCTCCTCGGAGGGCCACTCGTTGTAGGAATCGAAGCGCATCTCCCTGGCGAACGATCGCCATGGCTTGCGTCGCCCCCTGCTCTCATCGGTCACTATCCTCAGCGTGCGCACGTCATCGGACTCCTCCTTGAGCTCTCCTCGCTCCTGCTGCTCCGCCAAGTCGTCGGCGTGCTTGCCCACCTCTTCGAAGCCCGCGGTCGCCGGTGCCACGGAGACGCGGCGGCCGCCAGCCCAGTCCGCGAAAGCGCTGGCGCGGTACCGGCCCCTCACCTGCTTCGCGAACTCTGACTGGCGCTCTGGGTCGATCGCCTCGACCCTCTACCACTGGCCGCCGATGCACGCCACGGCGTGGCGCTCACCCATCCTGAGATCCATCCCGGTCGGCTGCGCCACCTGGCCCAAGCGCAGGGCCTCCGCGACCACTCACGCTAAGTCCTCGGGCGCGCCCAGCTCGAGGAAGGGGTTCCGCGCGCCGCCCACGCCACCCTCGTCGTCGGGAGGGGCGTCCGCCGGCGGCGGGCGCGGCGGCAGGAGGGTCCGGGGGGCTACACGGACTGCGGTCCGCCCGACCGCCGTCTCGAAGGGCTGGATCTGGTCGTCTACGAAACGCTCTGTGGGGCCCATCAGCGGCTCGCCAGCCTCCCTGTGCTCAGCACGAGCTCCTGGGATCAAGCTCCGACGCTCGTTGCCCGACACCTCCTCTGCATGCTGATAGAACTTTCCACGCTTGACTGGAGGCTTTCCGCCATCGCGATCGATACGGAAGGTCCTCACGCATCCCTCTGGATCCTGGCAGGCGCTATTATCGGGAGTGCAGTCCCCGTCGGGCGAGAGAGTGCACCAAACCTCCTGGCGACACTGGGTAGACTAAGACCCTGTGGTGCCAAACGTCATCATCATGATGCCATAGCACGACGGAGTCGCCAGGCAGGAGATCATTGAAAAACCCCTGCACCCCAGCGGCGGATCCATCCGCCGAGCGCAGGATCGGCCACCTGCCCTGATGTTGGACCCTGTCGGCGGCCACTGCAGCCATGACGACGACGACGACACACGCACACGCGATAGCACGAGCTCCTGCAGGTGGCACTCAGGATCCGCCACGGGCGCGAACGACACCGCCGGCTGGTTCGTCCGACTCCGCTTAGCCCCTCCGCCACGCAAGCCGTGCCCGCCGTGAGCGCCTCGACGCTCCCACGCAGGTCGCGGGTGGCTCCTTCCGCCACGCCCAGCCGCTCGCCGACCGAGTCGAGCTCGGCATCCAGCGGCGCTAAGTCTGCCGGTGGCCGCTCGGGCGGCACAGGGCAGACCGAGGGAGGCAGGCTCTGCGCCAGGAGCCATGTGATGAGGCAGATCGAGGGCAGCAGCGAGACAAAAACAGTCGAGCATGCCTCAAACATTTGAGCAGATGCACATCCGGACAATCGCAACAATCAGGTGCATAGCACTCCCATAGTGCGTTCTTTACCTGGTTCTGGTGCCCTTGATTTCTCGAGCTTCCAAAGCTCCATGACGGCCCAAGACGCCCCCAAGACCGCCCCAGGACGGCCCAAGAGGCCCCCAACAGGGCCCCCAGACGGCGAAGAGGCTCCATGACGGCCCCAGAGACGCCCAGGACGGCCCAAGAGGGCTCAAAGTCAGCCCCAATAAGGGCCCAAGAGGAGGAACACAAAGAAAATCCGAGTCTTCCGCCCCAAGAAATCCCCAGGAGGCCCCCAAGGAGGCGCCAAGAGGCCCCCAAGAGGCCCCCGAAAGGCCCACCGCGACATCCCAAGGAATGTCCTGGAGGCCTATGACACACAACCCACACCCAGTGGCGGGGACCCTTGGCTTGACACAGGGGTGCCTTTTCGTTATTTGTCAGACTCCCCCTGGGGCGTCGGCCCAGCGCGCCAGCCACCCTGAAAGCTCCCAAAATCCCCCTCTCATGGCCCGAATCGCCTCTAAGACGGCCCCGGGTGTGCCAAAATGGCCTCCAAGGTGCCTCCAGGATGCACCCAAGACGGCCCATGATGCACCCAAGACGGCCCAAGATAGCCCAAGACTGCCCAAGAGGCCCCAAGAGACCTCAAAGACGGCCCAAAAGGCCCCCAAGAGGCCGTCGAGAAAGGCACGAAGATGCCAAAATGAATGATTTGCTATTGGTTGTTTGGAGGGTGTTCGCATTTGCTTCGAAACGGTCTTCCGACGGCCCAAGACGACCCCAAGAGGCCACCAAGATTGCCCCAAGATCGCTCAAGACGCCTCCAAGATGGCCCCAGGACGGCCCAAGAGGGCCCCAAGACGGCCCCCAAAGGGCCCCAAGACGGCCCAAGCGGCCTCCAAGACGCCCAAGATAGCCTCCAACCAAGACGGCCCAGAGAGGCTCCCGAGATGGCTTCCGACTGCGTCAGACGGGCCAGGAACGCCAGAAGACAGCCAGAGAGGCCTCCAAGAAGGCCCCGAAGGCCCGCAAGAGAGGCCCAAGGAAGCCCCCAAGAGGCCTCCAAGAGGCCGCCAAAGAAGCTCCCAGGAGACCCCAGGAATGACGCACGAGGCTCCCAAGAGATCTCCTCATCCTTCTCCTCCACATCCCCCTCCTCCTCCGCCTCCTTCTCCTCCTGCTGTTCTTCCTCCTCCTCCTCCCTTTCCTCCTCCTCCTCCTCCTCATCATCCTCCTCCATGCTCCTTCCTCTCCTCATCCTCGTCTTTCTCACACACGTGTTCTCCAAAAGTTTTCACAGCGGCTCGGGGAACACCTGGTCCAATAGTTTGTTCAAGCTCTGGACACGTTTTGCCACGGAGGCGCTTTTCAAAAAGGCAGAGGGCGGCGGTGATTCGCCGCAGGCGTCTGCGAGATCGATCTGTATACATATACAGAGAAAGATGTACAGAGAGAGAGAGAGAGAAAGAGAAAAAAATCGCCGGCGCCAGAGGCGTGCTAAGATTTCCGGTAACTACTTAACAATATTTCTAATTCGCGCGCGCGCGGGGCGGCCCCTGGGGGGCCCCGGACCCCGGCCGATCCCCGGCCGGGTCCCGGCCGGGTCCCGGGCGATCCCCAGGGGGGAGGCTATTCTTCGCCACCCCTCACGAGGATCGTGGCCTCCGAGGGGGGGGGCTGCAATCGACTACCCCCCCCTCCCGCCCCAAGGGGCCCCCAAGGGCCCCCCAAGAGCCCCCAAAGAGGCCTCAATACGCCGCCAAAGAGCCCCAAGACGCTCCCAAGAAGCCCCCAAGAAGCCCCCAAGACGGCCCCAAGAGGCCCCAAATAGCGCTCCAGGGCCGGCGGAATGAGCGAAGCGATTAAATCGAGACAACAAAGCTCGAAAGAGAAAGAGAGTGAGAGAGAGAGAGAGAGAGAGATTCCCGCTTCGATGCTCTTACACAATTCAACGAAGGCGACCCCCCCAAAACGGGACCCCCAGATCCGTGGCCCCGGAGACCCCGTGGCCATCCCGCCAGAAGGTTCCCCGAGCTTCCTGGGGTTCGTGGCCGCCCCTTGCTGAACCTGGCCGGCGGGCCCGCGCTCGTCGGAAGAGCGGCCAAGGCGGCACGCCGAGAGCCCCGGGCGGCCCCGGGCACCCGCCAGAGGCCCGCAGACGACACAGAGAAGACCACCGAAGAGGCCCTGGAGGCGCACAAAGATGTTGACTTCCCACTGGTTTTTGCGTGATTTGGGGGGTACTCAGTTCTTCGGTCGCCTGGGCGCCCGAGACCGCCCAAGAGGTTGGAAAGTCGCTACAGGACTACCCACAAGGGTTTCCAGGCAGTCCAAAGGAGCCCCACAACGGCCCAACAGGGCCCAAGACGGCCCAAGATGGCCCCGAGACGCCCCCTGAAGCACTCCAAATCGTGACCCGGTCGTTCAGGGAGGCCGCGGTTGGAAGCAGGGCGGCCCGAGGAAGCCCCCAGAGGACCCATAGAAGGCGCCCAGGAAGCCTCCAAAGGCCCCAAAAAAACCCGTAAAAATGTTCTTGGCGCCCCCAAGAATCTCTCCAAGGAGGAGCCTCCGCAAAAAGAGTTGGGAAACATGGGGAAGGTTTCGCAGGGTGGGGCGAGAACGAAGGAGGAAGCAAAGGAAGCATGAGGGAAAGAGAAGTATCGGGGATTGACAGACCTCCCTTTAGTAAAACGTGGTTTAGTGAAAACGACCTGAGGCCCAAACCTGGCGGGCGCAAGCCTGGAAAATGACGGCCGTGGCGCCCTCTCGAGAACCGAAAACGGACAATTCACTAATCGACGTGTCACTGTTGGGGGTTCTGTCCACCCCCGAAAGTAAGACGATACCGTCAAAGGCAACAATGAGTCATCGTTATCTCTACTGTGTTTCCTCTTCTTCCGCCTGCATATGCGAAACCTGAAGGACCAGAGTGCATGGCGCGAAGCGCTAATGTGGTCTTGCGCATGCTTTTAATATGTGCACGCTCCGTATCTGGAAATCCTGAACCCAAAAATGTTGACAGCTCTTGGGGGGGCACATGTCACTGCACCGACCTTGCAGACGTGCTCCAGCGGATTTTTGCGTGGATTTCTGTCAGTGCAAAACCCCGAAAAGGCAAGCGAAAAACGAAGTGAATTGCACGTGGATCGTTCGTCTACACTCCCAACCACAAAAAAACGCACGAAATTCACTTCGGAATCCGGAATGAGACTCTCCAGGACACTCCTGGCCCATCCTCTTGCTTTCCGAACGAAATCCACTCTGGAAATTCAATTCGGAATCCGGAAAGAAATTCTCCAGGACACTCCTGGCCCATCCTCTTGCTTTCCGGACGAGATCCACTCTGGCAACTCACTTCGAAACCCGGAACGCGATTCTCCAGGACACTCCTAGCCCATCCTCTTGCTTTCCGGTCGAAATCCACTTTGGAAAATCACTTCGAAACCCGGAACTCGATTCTCCAAGACACTCCTGGCCCATCCTCTTGCTTTCCGAACGAAATCCGCTCTGGAAATTCACTTCGAAACCCGGAACGCGATTCTCCAGGACACTCCTGGCCCATCCCCTTGCTTTCCGAACGAAATCCGCTCTGGAAATTCACTTCGAAACCGGGAACGCGATTCTCCAGGACACTCCTGGCCCATCCTCTTGCTTTCCGGACGAAATCCACTCTGCGATGTTGGAGCCATGACACATGCTGCTTCCTTTTTTTTCAACGCGACTCCCTTAGCCTTGGAAGTTAAGCGGGGGCTTCAGCACAACCGTGAAAACGACGCGGCGCGTTTCAAAATCGGAAACGAGGCCCTAGAACGGACAGCGGGTGCAGAACGGCTGGCCCGACTGGCCTCAGCCCCGCGCCCGCGCACCCCCACCCCTGCGGGAGTGGCACATGCGGGGGCGCCCCTCCCCCCCCCCCCCTCTGGCAGGGAGAAAGGCGCAAAAGGTCCACTACATTCTTAGCGTGGCCCCCTGCGAAAGTATTTCTCGAGCTGTGTTTGAGCGGTCGGAAGAGGGAGAGGGAGGTAAAAAGGCGAGGTAAAGGGGTAGAGGCGGAGGGAGGAGTACCATTCTCGGCGGCAGCGGCAAAGCCTCTCCCCTCACTCGTTGGTGCTGGCGCCGATGCTGTTGTAGGCGCTGGCGTCGCAGCTGCCGTGGGCGTCGCAGCTCCTACTTCTTCCTGAGCTTATTGCTCCTGCTCGTCTGCGTGCCCTTGCCGCCCTTGAACGCCAACGACTCCACTTCCTTCGCCGCCTTGGACCTCGTCGCAATGTCGCACTGGAGGCCCACCCCAACAGCGGCCAGTGCGCCATTGCGCCTCAGCAGATTTAGCGACTCCTTCAGCCCTGGGTAGTGGTTCACCGCAAAGATCAATTTGCATTCTCCTGCCTCGAGGCCCTCCTCGTCGTTCTGGCTCTTCACTTTGAAGCACCTCGTTGCCACGAACTTCATCTGCGGGTCCTGCATCATCTTCCCAACCTTCAAGAGTTCGTCCAGCGCGGCCTTGGCGGCCTGCGGTTCGATGCCCTGTTCCCCGGCCGCCAGCACTGCATCCATCTTGTCCTCGACGGCCTCCGACATGCGGAACAGAACTGCCCTCGCCAGCGCATCGGGGCGCTTGCCGAGTGGGTTGCCCATGAACTCCTCCTGCATATCCTTCGCCTTCTCCTTGGCCTTGGCGCCCTCCCCCTCGTAGTGCGCCAGAGCCTGGTCCAGCGCAGTCGCCATCTTCTGCGTCGGCTTGGACGGGATCACGAAGTTGTCGCCCCTGCGCGCCGACCTCGCCATATCTTCGTGCTGAAGGACCAGCCGCGCCAGCGCCTTGGCCAAGGGGCCCACCACGTCGGGCTGGCCGCCCACGACCCCTGCCTCTGCCGCCGTCCTCTTGCTCTCGTTGCTGCCCGCCGTCACTTGCACCTCGCCTATCGGCTTGAACATCGCCCGCCGCAGCAGGAACTGGTACTGCAGAGGGGGCAGCAGGCTCTGGTGGTTCTGAAAGTCTAGCTTGAGCCTCAACTTCTCTGGAACGGACAGTGCAACGTTTCTGTTTAACGTGTCTTACCAGCGTGTCTTTTCTCGTAACTAACTTCTGGCAGTGAGGACATACCTTAAGTTGCAAGTCCATCTCTGTGAGGGCTTCTGCTGCTGGGTCTGCATAAACTTTATGGGCCGCGTGTTTGTGATTGGCTAACCCCTTTTCCCCATTGCATTTTTGCCCACACAGGTCGCACCCCAGCCACACTATGGCTGCCGTGTCAGTCACAGTGTCCATCCCACCGCCGCAAGTCAGTACACGGCGGAAACTGCGCGGCTCAAGGAAGGCGAGCCAGCGCAGCCACGGCTCAGCCAGCCCCGGCGAGTCGCCATGCAACAGAAAAAGCCGACTGGCCGCGAGCTTCTCTCGTGCGCCCACCGTCCGCCACATCTGCCGCATGTCCTCCAGCAGCAGTGTCAGCAGGCCCGACTGCTCCCCCTGGCCAACCTGATCGAACGAGAAGCGTCCGAAGATGACTGCCCTGACCGTCAGCGTCGGGTCGTACAGGTCGTCACCAGGCTCCCTGAAGGCCAGCCAAAGCACCTTTCTCCACCACCTCAGTCTCCGTAGCAACAACGTGCTCGCAACCGTCGGAGCACGGGCCTGCATCCTGATCTCACGATTGGTCTTCTTGTACAGGTGGGCTGGCGAATTCAGTAATCCTCGAAGTTTTTTCACCTGCCAGCTCTCCAGCCTGCTGAGCTCCCTCTTGGTGAGGTTGGCGATCTCCAAGCAATATAAGCACACCGAACGTACCAACGCCTTCCATAATATGATCTTCAACGTGGGACTAAACCCGCTCTTGAATGCACGGCGTAGCAAGCGCGCATGAGTGGGGTTGGCAGCCCTGATACGGTTGGTGGCCTCCACGTGGTGTGCACCCGTTGCCGCCAGCTGCACCCCCAAATACTTGACCGTCTGTTGTGGGCGCAGTGGGAAATAGTCATCCCCTTCCCACGTCACAATGCCTGTGCTCTGCGCGCGAATATCCTTCAACCTTTCTTGCTCCCAACTCCAGTCGGCGTGAGCAGCATCTCCGTCTTCCTGGTGTTGACTCGCACACCTCCTGCTTTAATTTCCTCCTTGCAACACCTCCAGTACGATGGACGCATCGTCGTACTCCTCAATCTCTGCGAACGTGAGCAAGTCGTCCAAGAACTTTAGCTGCGAAACATCCAGCTCCTCGCACTCGTCCTCCTTCAAGCCGTCGTTGCTCCGAATCTTCTTCAACGCGGGATCGAAATGCACCTTGATGGCAGCAACATTATGCTGTCGAAGTTCGTTCGAAATGCGATACACTATTCCATCATAGACAGCCACGAATAGCCCAGGACTTTCAACTCCTCCCTGGCGCACTCCTTGCTTGACCCAAATCCGCGCGACAGGCTCACGAGTGGTAACGTCACGGAACAGGTAGCACATGCCTTCATGAAGCTCCTCCAAAGTCACTCGGGCATCCCACCGAACTTCAAGCGCCCCCAGGCTTCTCCACATGTTTTCCCTGACCACCCCGCCGAATGCCTTCTCGATGTCTGTGAGCACTGCCAACAGCATAGTCGGTGGTTTGGACGAACTTCCTCTTCTTTTTACTCTATGTGCTCGCTGGTGGCGCACAATCACTTCTCCTGCTACTGCCACTGCGCCCCGTGTACCTCTCCCTGGCATGGCTCCAAACTGCGTCGGTGAAATATTGTGCGCCACTTCCCTCATCGCCGCAAGCGACGTGACCTCGGCGTACGCCTTCCCCACATGGCTGATCAGGTTGATGGTGCGATAGCCCTTCGACGCCGAGCAACCATCTCCCTTTGGCTTGCGCAACTGCATGGTTTCGCCGCCCTTGAACCTCTGTGGAGCGCCACCCAGAGACTGGGCCGCGTTAAAGACCTGCAAGGTGGGCAGCGCAAGCGCGTCCATCGCCAGCTTCCATGATTCAGCAACAGCGCCCCCAGGCGGTCCAGATTTCGGCCACCGGAGCGTGGGTCCCCCCTTCAAGTTGGGCAACGCCATGATGCTCTCCCTCACCGTCTCCATGTCATAGCTGCCAATCCTGTCGTCGTCACGCGTATTCCTGCCTGCCTGGATGGGTCTGTCGTCCAGTTCCATCGCGTGACCGTCGCACACTTCGCATATGCTCCGAGTGCGCACTCGCTGGTCGTCCTCAGCGTCGAAACACGGCAGCCCCGTGTCTGGACCTTTCACTGTCATGGTGGGCGCCGCAGGCTTGGGAGCTAACTTATTCACGATGTGTCGGAGGCACCTCAAGTTTCTCTGTCCTGCCGCTCGTTCAGCTTCTTCCGCCAGTGCTACGGTCTTCTGCCGTTTCTCACTCCTGATAACCGCCGTTGCCAACTTCGCCGCCGTGTTGAACCTCAATTGACAATGCGCCCGCAACCACCGAGCTCCATCAGGAAGGGCTGCCAGTTGATACTGCCAGTACTGCTTCGGCCAAATCAACTTCACCGTCTCCTCACTGAACACTGTGCCTATCCTCTTCCCCGCCACAGGTGGTGATATGTAGTCCTGCATCGCCGCCTCAATCACAACTCCTTCCAGCTCGTTGAAGTACTCCGATGGGGACTCGTAGCGCATGCCCGCCCCACAAATGTCAGCCCAGTCTTCCTGCAGCCCCATTTGCATTTACGCCTGAAGTTGAGCGCGCGGTCGGGGAGCTTGACCGAGTTGTCCGTATCCTCCTCAGTCTGCTGCACCTTCAACAAGTCTGCACTCATGAGCTCCCTCCGCCATCGAAATTTGCCTGCTTCGTTCACTGTCTTTGCCGCCTTCACACCCGCAAAGATACGTGACTCCAATGGCCTGTGGTCCCTGTAGCTGCCCAGGTTCACAGGTAGATCAGCCCTCGGAAACGACGAATGTCCGTAACCTCCTCGCCGCCGCACCAACACGTAGTCAATCGTAGTCCACGTCCCCTGCGGGCTCCTCCACGCGCCGTTGAATATTCCTCTCTTGCCGAACGTGTTCAGCGCCATCAGCCCGTAGTCCTCCATGAGCTCCATCAGCGCGTGGCCGTTAGCATTAATCGTTGGGCCATTCCTTCGCACGCCAGCGAACCCCACCCAAGGCAGCAACGGTGGGACGTGTGCATTGGCGTCCAGCGTGACAATGAGCGACGCCCTTGCTGTAACTTTGCCGACTGCTCGGCGACACACCTGCCAGAACACATCTCTGGCCTCCAGGTGCTCCTCTCTGAACTCCATAGCTTCAACTCCTTTAGGCACATGACCCGCCTCGTTAGTGGGGGCGTAGCCATTCAGTACGTAGATGTCCCGTTCGAACCTCTTCTTGCTCACACTGCGTAACCGTGCTCCTTGCAGCTTCCCTTCCAACCACGCGTGCTCACATCTGACCTCGCCCTTCTGGAAGTACTTGAGATTGATGGCCGTGACGCATCCGTCCCTTTGCCCTCGCCCTGACCGCGCCAGCGAGTGCACCTCAAAGCTACCCGACTTCCATGTCTTTCCCAGATCCATCTGCGTGCCTGCATCGTGAAGATGGCCACGCTCTCCTTCCTAGCCAACTCTAGTGACTCGTCCAGCCTCCCCATCCTACGCAGCGACTCCACGTTGAAACTCCACACCTTCAGTGTTCTCTGCTTCTATGTGGCTCGCTGCTCTTGTTCTTCATCATCCCTCTTCACCTTCACCAGTACTCTATCATCAGCTCGATGTGACAGTTGGGTCAACTCCGCGACAGTCTCTGGAGTGACTCTCTGCGCGGCTGAGGCACGCGTAATCCTCTGTCCTCGGTACCATGCCACGCCTGCCATCAGCGCGAGACCCACTGCTCGCCTCAAAGCACGCTTGCCACGCATCGCCCGTACGCCCTTTTTCCAGCAACCAACTCGGCCCAGCACCGTGTTGCCGTCCTCGCGGGTCGGGCACCCCGCGAACGCTCACCTCGCAGTGGTCTTCGAAGCACCCCCCCCTCACCGTGTCCCCACGGCCCACATGGCGCGGCCGACTAGGGGGGCCAGCACTGGCCAGGACTTGCGACCTGGCACGACCGTCGCTGCGACGCAACCGTCTTGAGCCGTCGAGGCTTCCATGCTGCTTCCACATGCTTCCGCCGGCCTTCCGCTCGCCTCTGCCTGGCGGCACCGCTGTCGTCCTGCTTCCGTAGCCTGACCGCCGCCCTAGCGCCGGGCTCCTGGGCACACTCCCAGGGGTGTTCCCGCGCCGCTCTCGCACCGCCTGCTGGAGGCAAGACTGCCCAGAAAACTGGCCGAGGAGGAGGAAGAGGAGAAGGAGGAGGAGGAGGAGGTGGAGGAGGAGGAAGCGGAGCAGGAGGAGGAAGCGGAGGAGGCGGAGGAGGAGAGGGCCACAAGAGGCCCCCCAGGAGGCCCCCGAGATAGCCCAAAAGAGAGCCCCGAGACGGCCCGAGAGCGCTCCAAGGCGCATAAGATGCGCCGAAGACAGCCCATTGGGCCCGGGCCCCCTAAGACGCCTCAAGTGGGCTCCAAAACGCCTCACAAGAGAGCACCAAGAAGCAACAAAACACTAACTGTCGCTGGGTACTGACATGATTTTAGCGTTCTCACCCGTGCCGGCCTGGTGCCGACAACTGTTTCGCCTGAAAACTAATCACAAATTACTCCAGAATCGTGCTCTCGCCTCAATACCAGCTGCTACATTGCTGGCCCAGACGGCTACTATCCTTTGCAAAAATGCACTAGCCCTAGACCGCCCGCTCTGGCACGGTCTGGCGGCGGCTCCGCCTAAGAATTCTTCACAATTTCTTCAAGAATCGTGTTTTCGAATGAATGCCAGATATATTTTGGTCCCGGACGGCCACGATCCCTTGTAATAATAAACTAAGGTTGCAGACGCCATGTCGGTTCTCCTTCACCCTCGCTGCTGTGAGGATGCTTTGTTGGGGTAATGTGACGGTCCCAGGGCCTGGCCAGTCCGAGAACAGCTGCAACAACAACAATAATATCAACACCAACAACAAC